GCACTTGCTGGTCCTGCTGTCTATCAAGCTGGCCTTTTTTTCCCCCAAATATTTTATGACATGTCAGTACATTTGTATCCCCTAATGCTCCTTCTCTTGTAAGGACACTCATTACAACCTGCCCCACACTACAAGATGCTACATCAGTAGCAAACACTGCCATAAAAGAGAACAGGAAGCCTGGAAACCTTCACTCAGTTTTTAAGGTAAAAATGGAAGTGTTCAAGCCTTGAAAAGATTTGAATCCATCTGGTTTGATTCTTGGTCTTCTTATGTTTCCAGAAAATTATCTTCAGGTTTTCTTCTTACAACACCAAGGTATATTTGGACATGCAAGGTTGACAGGGAGTTGATTCACTAAGTATCTGAAACCTGGACATACTGGAAAGTTAAGAAATCTACCACGTAGCAGCGAGGAGCACATTATCACTGATTAGTTTGCATAAGAATGGTCTTGTTCAGAATATCTTGCTGCTTTTACAAACTTTCCTAGGCCAGTATTAAACATTTTTGTGCATTTCCTACACTAAACAACAGCCAGAGCAGACCTTAACCCATTAAATGAAGACAAAGGACCAAAGGCAAATTATACATTACCACTGAGTAAGCTAAGTGTTCTCAAAGAGGCAGAGCTACAAACTTTACCTCAAATAACAACTAGAATACCATTTCTGCCATTTAAACAGCCTGGAAGGGAGCAGCAGCAGCACTGCATGGCTATCCCTGGCATCATCAGAATGTGCTGCTCCAGGCACATCCAAGCTGCATTACAAAGCAGTACTATTTACAGAGTCAGACTGTTTTCTGCTTGATGTTTCCCTATTCACATTTACAAGAGGGCTAACAACCAAAACAAATATTTTGTTTGGGATACAGAAGACCATTGGCACCTCCAGAGGGGAAACTGAAGCTCTGCTTTATTCTATCTCACAACATATTCCAAGATAATCCAGACAGGTTGAAGTTTTATTGAACTCCATGGAGGGATGAGACAATGCAGGACAATACCCCAAACACTGAAATTTATTTCCCCAAGCCCACTTAGTCCCCAGTAAGAGACAACAATTGCTCTGGGACAGAACGAGGAGTATCAGCTATGCCAAGCAAAGGCCAGGACAGGGCTCAGAAAGGCATCAAGGGTGGTTTGTATTCCTTACATCCAAGCTCACTGCTTTGAAAAGCCTGGTGGTGCCTGTCAGCACAGACAGAGCACAGAGCCCTTGGAAGGGCCCAGCCTGGGAGAAGAGGATGTTCTGTACTGAACACACACACACACGTGCAAGCCCAGCCTCCCTGGAAGAAGCTGAAGTTTATCCTAACCTTGGTGGCAAAGTAAATCTTTCTGCAACGACCCAGAAGTCCAGAATAACAGATCAGTCAGGAAGCCCAGCAAAATTCCACTTCCAGAAGCCAGGAGGAGCTATAAGCATGTAGGTCTTCCTGGCAAGGAGCAACATCCATTAATTATCTTTACACTTGAGAACAGAATGGTTGTTCTTTACACCTTGAAGTGCCAACTGAAATCTTTTGAAACAAATTTTATGTCAAGAGAAAGGCCCCGAATGTATTAAAACAAAATTAAATGCATAACATCCAAAATACACAAGAACCCAGATCTCTGATATTTCACTAGGGAAGTATTTCTAACCATAAGACATAAAAAGGGATATACATTTCTCCATCTGCAACACTGTGTTTAAACAAGTGTTATGCTGCATACAACAAGGTTTCTCATCCAATACTAGTTTAAATCCACCTAAAATAAAATGTAAAGTTGGAAAGCACCTGAAGTCACTTAGAGATACAATCCAGAGAACATCCTTTGGAAGCTGCTCCTTAGGTGGAAGGTCTGGCAGCACCTCCTGTCAATGGCTGACCAGCATGTTTGAAATCACACAATAAGTACATGTAAAATTACACATTTTTATCTACACAATGCCTGCTCCAATACCATGCTCAAACACTGGCCTGAGGAGTAAGTCAGAATTATAAAGCTAAACAGAACTGCTGCTCATAATCCCTTCCTATTGTATGATTTGTGTCTTCTGCATTCATTATCTGAGAATCACAGTATTATTTTAGTTGGAAAAGACCTATAAGACCATTGAGTCCAAGCATCAACCCAGCACTGCCAAGGCCACCATTAAACCATGTCAACAAGTGTTCCATCTACATATCTTTTGAATATTTCCAGAGACGGGGACTCAAACAGTTCCCTGGGCAGCCTGTTCCAATGCTTAACCATCCTTTTGATGAAGGCATCCTTTCCTAATACCCAATCTAAATCTCTGGAGCAACTGGAGGCCATTTCCTCTTGTCCTGTCCCGTGTTTCCTGGAAGAAGAGCGCAATCCCCACCTGTCTACAACCTCCTGTCGGGCAGTTGTAGAGAGCAATAAGGTCCCACCAGCCTCCTCTCCTCCAGGCATTCAGGGATTCTGGATGATGTTAGCAGAGTCATTTGGTCAAGTTTCCTGCTTGCTTTCATGGCCTTGATACCTGGTGAGTTAAATACAGAACTGCCAAGTGATTTCAGTGCTGTTCAGCAAGAGATCTGCTCTGAGTGCAAATTTTAAATGTTACAACAAAAACAGGCATGTCAGAGCCCAGACCCAAAATTTAAACCTTTCATCCTAAATTCTGTGACTCCATCCAGTAAAAATACTAATAAAACCACAGGATGAATAGGTGAAGGCAGCACTACTACAACACACTTGAAAACTCCATCCTGTAAGAGGGGGGCTTGAATACTGTCATGAACAGACAAGGGGACTGGGAGCAAACACTTTGTTCCACAGAATCACAACCTCTGTGATCACATGATGAAAAGACTGTCATGGTACAAGTAACAGCTTGACTCTTTGCAATATGAGTACAAAAAGTAACAGTTTATAAAGCAGCTGGATAAGTAAGAGAAGCAGTACATTTTTTTGTCACTTCCACTGGAAATGTCTTTGCAGTATTTGCATATATAGTATCACTTTCAAAGAGCAAGTAGCACTAATCCCTTCCTCTTACCAAATCCCCAGCCAGAAATTAAGAAGAAAATCAGACTTCAATATAAACCTGACAAGTCAGAAGTATTTGCAATCTACATTTAAGATTTTTCACTGTTTCCCCTTATTCTACATTATATTTCACAGCCTTGTTATTCACTGGGCTGGTTTTCTATGAAGTCTTATCTAGGCAGGTACTGCAAGATATTTACCTAACAAACCAATAAATACTTTGTTGTCATGGTTTTACCAGGATATGACTCATTGGAACCATGTATTCCAGGGAGCAAATGGCTTCAGTTCACAATTCAAGTGCACTTTTTTGCTTGAGACATCAAGACAGACAGAGCTGTTCCTTTCAAAAGGTCAAACAAAATTAAAGGAAGCATTATAAACCCCCTGAAATCACAGATCTGATTTGCAGGCCTTTATATATGATAAAATGTTTTGTTCCCACCCCCTGCCCTTGTTTTCTGAATTTCCCACACTATTGGTTTTCCATGTCCAGGAAATATTTTTCAAGTGTCTGAGTTTCCATTGGAATCATAAGTCAGAATTAACACGAGACACAAGGCTACAAATTTTGATTTTAACTGATAAAAATATCAGTACTGGTTCCAACTAAAATTCTTTGGGTTTTTTCCAACTTAAGTGACAAAACAGAAGACCACTATTTTTAAGTCATTCAAATTTTTTCTTTGGAGTGGTAAGAGTAGATGGAATTCCTTGGAAAAAACTAACTGCATAATATAAACAAACATCATCCCATACCAGAAAAGGGAAGGGAGAAATTGGAGAGGATAAGCAAATATTCATCATAAACTTGAAAAGTGAAGTTTAAGAAAGGCTGATGACATTCAGAAGTAAGCTACTGAAGAATAAAGATATCTATCCCTGCAAATTGAGATGGTCAGGAGACATTAAGTGACCCTCTGCTGATCCCTGAAGATAAAAATACATATATTTGGATACAAGATCATAGCCTGAAGTCCCATTAGGGGCCTGCTCCAGGTGAAACGCAAGCAGCCACATCTCCTTTGTTCTCAAGTGTATCACAGTCCAGGCAAGAACATTAATGAGACTAAACCAGGTTATAGCAAAGTTTTAAATAAGGGTAACCACATCCACAAGTTAGATTCAAAAGTGCTCCTGAAGTAGCAGGAGATGAATTTTGTTACCTGCCAAAGCCTAAGCAATAGAAAAAAAATAAATTTAATACAGGCTCTCAAACCACCAAGCACAGGGAAAGTTGTAGAAAGGAGGGGAACCAAACCACAGAGAAAAAAATAAGGATCCAACGAGTTATTCTAGCCACACTCAAATGTAAGAAAATTCCAAATATGCATATATATGAGCAGCAGTAATGGCAGAAGCCAGAAATACCAACTACACTGAGGAGTAAAACTGAAATTTTCAAATATAACCATTCACCCTGGAGACGAGGTGTCACAAGGAATCAAAAATATGCAGACCAGAAATAAATTCCTATAATACAAAGAATTCTGTAGCTGTAACTTCTTTACTCCTGCTTTCAGCTAAACTTCTTCAGATTAGGGAATACACCCCTGCAGCAAAGATTTTGTTTTTTTAAGACCCATTTCTTCGGTATTACAGAAAAGCAGAACACGAAAATAGAGAATTATTTTGCTCCAAAAGCCAGCACGTGGGACTGGTCAGATAATTTTCAGCCAAGTGGCTTTGGTAGGTGAGAAAACACCTTGCAAACTCCTCCCATGTAGAATAAATTAATTGCTGCACACATCTGCCCACCTCTGTACCCTCGGGCTGAATGGAAGGACCATGAACAGGCTGTCAGAGAAAAACCAATTCCAGAAGGCTCAGGGAAAAAAAACAACCAAGAAATTCTGGTTTAACACCCACTGTTTAACAATGAGGATTTTCAGTAAGAATTACAAGGAAACAACAACAACAAAATCTCATCTTGACCTGCTTTACCCAGAATAAAACTCAGTGTGAAATTGAAATAATTAACTGTTGTACATACCCTAAGTAGACTTTCCAGCTCTCAGCAGCAGGTGCTCAATACAGGATGAAACATGAAATCTGAAACAAATATTTAGAATTCATTAGGGTATTTTCTTAACTAATTTTTAAAGCAGTCCAACATCCAAAAAACTTAAGAACAAATTAACTGATATTCATGTTATGAAGACAAGACAACCACCTGCAGCACACATCCTATTTTACAAGTGCAGATTATTTAGCTGGATGTTCTTTTCTTATGAAAAGAACAAAAAAACCAACCCTAAAACAAAACACAGAAGAAGTTTGTAGAAGCCAGAGACTTGTATTTGAACTCAAAACAGACAAGTTGCCTGAAATGCTGTTTGTCCCATGAAAGCAAACTAAAAATTTCCCAAGTTATATGGACTTGTTCCTTTGAAGAAGGAGGGGGGTTAAAGCATCACAAAATGAACCTTTATTACTGGTAATATACATTTAATAGTAAAAACAAGTGAGTGCTGAAAACTGTAATGAGTGATTCAAAACACTAGCAGCATCCAGATCTAGAATTAGAAAGTGCTTCCCTGGAAAATGAAAAGTGTGGGGGAGGAACCAGAGAAAAGCATTTATCTCCTCAGGGTATGTGCACCACAGGGCAGCCGAGCCAGCTCTCAGCTGAAGTAACAAATATATAGATATTGCTCAATACACATGTAATATTCAAAGTTGTGGGTTTGTTTCTTTAAAAAAAAAATTGATCTATAAGAATTCCAGAGCCAAGTAATGTAGAGTTGAGTGTATTACTTTGCTAGTTGTTTTTCTTCTTTCCCTTTCAAACAAATATATACTATAGAGACAAAGACAGGACCAGTAGAAAGCCCAAGCTTATGTATCCTGCTCTTAAAACTGGATTTCTAAGAACTGTTTTCCAAACTTTATTCACCTTAAATACTTCATTTTCCACACACATAAAGGCCACCAAGATTCCACAAAAAAACTCTCATGAGATAAAGGAATGTAAAAAATTCAAATAACCTCTGCACAGTTTCTCTTAAGGCTTCATCTTAGCTGTAATAAACTGGGTGAGTGGGGGAGAAAAGTGAAATACTTTAATTTTAACATAAAAACCAGAAAAAAGTCACAGCGTTCACCTGAAACAGACATCCACACCATGGAGGGAAAAAAAAATCAGCAAGAACTTGAACTGCTTTTATGGTGCTCCATAAGATGAATGGCACTGCCTCCCAAGCCTGATTTTCTGGTTAACACAGAATCTGCTAAGTCAGGCTGTCCCACCATCTCTGCCAGACTGAGTGGCAAACAACAGCTTTCCCCAGAATCACGCCTGCTCTGAACGTTTCTATGGAATTAGTCATGATTTGGGACAATTTGTAAAAACACTGATAATTAACACAATGGGAATGATATCATGGCAAGTCTTTTATGAAAAGGCAAATTGCTCATTAGACTGTTTCTCAGACTGAGAAACCCGTGCACTTATTGATTTAACTGAAGATGTTTTCTGATAAGGCAAAAACTACTTTTAATTTCCAAGGTCAGTAATAATGACCTTTCCCTGCTCTGGGAAGTTACACCACTAGCACCCTTCAAACACTTGTTAAAGTAATTGTGTAATACCATGGGACTTACATACAGCATCAAAAAAGCACCAAATGCTAGAAAAATATTATTTTAATTGCTGAGGCATCAATAATGCAAACACTTGCAGACATGTTCAATTTTCCACACAAGTTCTCTCACTGATTTTCAATGGAATCACCCACGTGTGTAAAATTCAGTGTACAAATGCATGGCACTGTGATTTGATTTGATGGTGGAAGGCAATCCCACAGGGCAGGTAAAGGGCCTCTCGTTTGCTCTTAGCTGCTTCAAGTAATGCAGTCAGGACAACCCAAACATGGGATCATTTCTTCTCCTTTACACCAAGAGCCTTTGCCAGGCACACCTTCCCAATATTTGTTTTCACAGGTTACTTACTCATTTACTTCATTCAACAATTACTTAGGAAGCAAGAGGTGACAAGAACTCTCCTATGCTAAACTCAAGTCCAAGCAGTTGTAACACTTCTTAAAAGACCCATTAGTCTCCTTCCAACAGAGATAAAATGCTGAAAGCTTCTAAAGTGGTCAAAAGGAAATTAACATAAAAAATGGTTTGGATTGAAGATCTGTGCTTTTGACTTTTTGTAAAAAACAATAATTTAAAAAAATCCATGTATCTTACAAAATGGTTTCTTTAAATGAAATAAACCCAAACAAGTACAACTGCTCATGGAAAAAAAAATTAGAGGGGAGGAGGATTTTTCATAGCTTTTGAAATTTCTCTACCTTTTTCCACATGGGAAAGGTTTTCAGTAAAGTGACAATATTTAAATTTAACAGTCTTTGTGGTGGAAAACTATTCTCTTTTAGACTTTTCCCAACCAGCTGCAAGTCATTCACTTGGTCCAGTTTTGCTTCCTTGTTTTTCCTTATTCTGTTTTATCTACCCTTGTAATACCTTACTCACCTCCTAAAATCAGCACAGAATTCTACCTATTTGTAATTAAAAGTAACTTGTTTGTAGATCTAAATGTCCACATACAAGGCCTGAAAGTTTAAGTTTTATCCTTCAGTATCATTCTATTCCTTCTCTAAGTTGACTCCTTCCCCAAGGACCATTGAGCCATTAGACAATTATCAGCATCCATGAGTAAAAAATCTTCATTTATCTTCTAGGCACGGAGCGCCTTCCTCAGCCTCCTTACATTTCCAGCTATCTTTAAAGCTCTTTGATTGTTCTCTTCACGAAAATTTGTCCTCTTCACTCTTTTCACACCACCAATACCTTCCCAGATTCTCCACTCCATTTCAACACAGCAGTGACCGCAATGACTGCAATCTCCACAAAGCCAAAGATGGACCACTAAAGACCAACATGATTTGTTTCACTTCCCTCTCCTAACCCTGTGTAGTGGTTCCACAAACTGATTCACAGCAACAAAGCAAATAAACAATTTTATGCACTGCAGCGTTTTTATCCTTACAGAACACTTAATCTGGTCTCTGATGACGCCCCTTTGGCTCTGGAGTGAGTCAAAGGAAAACTCCACAAAGATCACAGCAGACAGGAAAGACCTGAGGAGCTCTGTCAGTGCAGGGAAAGAACAGGAACAGCAAGTGTTGGGCACAAGTAATATCTTCTTTAGCAGAGATGGGACAATTATAGCCAAGTTATCTACAGTGTTATTTCTCCTGTAGCTGATCCCTCCGCTATCTTCCACAAACAACTGAATCAAGTGAACTTTGGCAGTCACTGAGCAACCACAAACAAATTTCTATCAGTGAACTGTACACTGTTCATGGGGAATTATTCTCCAGCCACTTGTTTTAAGGAGGCAGAAAGGATTTAAGATTTAATGTTTTCACAAGATAGGAAGTGAAGCATTCCATAGGTCTTTTGAAGAAATGTAGCCTGTATGAACATATATATTTAGGACACAAAAAAAGGGGATGAAGCTGCATCAGGGGGAATTCAGATTGGACTGAAAGGTTCTTCACAGGAAAGGTTCTTCACAGGAAAGGGGATCAGTCACTGGAACAGGCCCCCCAAGGAAGCAGTCATGGCACCAAGCCTTAGTTGGACTCAGTGGTCCTTCTGGGTCCCTTCCAACTTGTACATCCATGCAACCCTAGGTGATCTCACCACTGCCCCACACCTCAAGCAGTGAACTGGGCAGCAGACCTCCCTGGAGCACTTTCAGCAGCATCACCAAAATCACACCCATGCAAAAGAATAATTATAACACAGCCCTGAGTATAATCTATTAACAAATGATCTCAGGAGAAGCCCCAGAACAGTCAGGGCAGTTACTGAATCCTAAACCAACTCAAAAGCACTGTTTGCACAGACAATACTGTGAGGATTTAGTAGTCTTGTTTCAGGATAATTGGCATACAGGCACTAACTTCACCTCACCATTGCATAGTGGTTTGGCCACCAGAAGAATATAATCCATAAAGCAGAATCTGGACACCTCACTGGACCCAAACAGAGCCTAAGCACATCACCCCTCAACACAGCCCCCTACGGCACTGTCAGCTGCACCACCAGTACTCCTGCAGAAATTTTTAACCAGGTTGTTGTAACTTAATTGTGGAAAGAAGTACAAACATCAATAAGATCTCAGCTCCATATCATACCACAAACACATGCAAAAAAACAAAAAAATCACTCCCTATTCAGATGAACCATCAGATAAAATCAGCTAGAAAGACAGAGCTTTAACAACATAGAACACAAGTTCAACATAACACTTCAAACTGCTGTAACAAAGACTCAGTCCAAAAACCTATCATATTTCAAGCAACAGCTGTGCATTAAGTGCTCACATTATATGCACATGGGCACCGCTCTCCCCCTCCCCACTTCATTTTGACTGTGCTCCAAATCCTTTCTCAAACTCACTACTTTCATCTTGCCTTTCCAAAACTAATGTCGACCCAGCTACCCACAAGGTCTTGCCTTGTTTTTTTACTTCTAGCAACTTCAAGAGTAAGGTATTCACAGAAGTGTGCTTTAAGTACATTTATTTTCACAACTTGTGCAGTCCTCACCCTTTTTGTACTTTCACTCTATGATCTCTTCCTCGGTATAATATGACCAATGTTCCCACTCCCACTTGAGAATACTGGTGGCTCAGTGTCTATTTCCACAGAGGTACCAACGGCTTTTGAAAGAGGGAACTTCAATGCAATCCCCATTTAACACCAAAAAGCCACACAGATAAATACATTACAGAACTCCAAAATCTGTTTCCTAGGAAGGGAAGCTCTGTTCAATACTCTTCAGATTGTGAAAACAGTTTAAAGGTTTTGTTTGCCTTTAAGAGAAGAAAAAGCTGATTCAGTTGTAAAATGAAGCCAATGTTACATACTCCTGTCTCGAAGAATTCCCTCTCCTCTCCTGATGAAAGGAGAGCAAGGCCCAACACTGGCTGCTGGAAGCCCCGAAACAGGGAACAGCGTGAGAGGAGCACAAAGAAACCCCCCCTCCACTGAGCTGAATCAGCAGGGGCTGGGAGCCTGTGACACAACTCA